TATTGGCACAATGTTGTACAACTCTCTAGAGCTTATTCAATTTGTATAAGTAAATCTTCATACCCATTGCTCGCTGTAATAAGGAAACAACCAAAATGTTCACTGATGGATAAATAAATATAGGGTGGCATAAATGTAAAATGGAATATTATTCAGCCTTTAAAAGGAAGGAAATCCTACCATATGTGACAACGTGGAAGACACCACACTAAGTGAAATAAGCAAGTCACAGAACAAATACTACATGCTGTAACTTTATTATAACTGAAGTGAGAAAATAGTTTTTAGTCTCTATCATCCACCTGATTTTGCTCATATAATTGGCTTTCCAAATACAAAACTAGTGTGAGATTTTAAAAAGGAAAAGTTATTAATGAAAACTAATAAAATGTTGAATAATAATGTTATTAAAAAACTTTAAAAAAGTACTTTTTTTGAGATTTTCATTCATTTCTAACTGTTTTAGACAGTGGTGTTAATTTTTCATGTAGTCTTACTCACTATTCAGCAGTTATGAAATTACATTCCCCAATTTTATGTCACATTCTGTGACTTACTAATGAAAACTAGCATTTCATAAATTAAAACTTTGCAATGATGACAAGTAAAACATGATACACTATACGGCCATAGAAATTAGACTAAGCTTGCTTTGGATTCTGTGTCTCCCTCTCTCTCTGACCCTCCCCTGCTCACGCTGTCTTTCTCTCTCAGAAATAAATAAAACATTAAAAAATAAAAAAAAAGAAATTAGACTAAGATATAAATATCTAAAAGATAACACCTCAAACTGAGAGTTTCTTATTGAAATGTTGGCTGTTAGATGTTAGCTATTAAAGCTGAAAACTTCATATTGAGCCTAAAAGATCATGAACTAGGATGCTACTATCTGTTCTCATATAATCTTCAAAGTCTGGGTTTAAAGTTCAAACACTTAAATAAGCATGTTAATAGTATTATAAAAAAAATTAAAAATGGCCATAGCTTAAGTGGTGGTTATGTTCTGCTTTTTTTAATTGAACAGAAGTGAAACTTTCATATATCTGGAAGCAGGCCCATCTACATAACTGAGGGTTTCAGTACAAAATTAAAATGTGGTGTCCCTTCTTTAAAAAAACAGGAAAAATTTGTTTTCCTTTTTCTGAGGTCTCTTTCCTTACCTCCCATGGTGTTTTTACTTGTTACTTAATATTGCATTCCCTATAGCATGGGGATATTTGTGGTTGAGTGCAATTTCTTATAGAATCCCAGAGCCCTGCCCCATGACTTGATGCATGGGATAGTATGAATTAGTGCAAGAGTATGTGCATGGTGTGCATGAGTGCATTGGTATATGAGTATATAGCAATACCACCAACCTCTGTAATTGGGGGCAATTACATTTAAAAATTATAGATGGATGTATGGATGGATGGATGGATGGATGGATAGGTGGATGGGTGGATGTACAGATGGACATTCAAATGATAAATGATAGATAAATGGGTAGATAATAGTTTAACACTAAAGCTATTATTGTTGATAAGGCATCTTTTTGTTTTACTCCTATACTTCCTTATTTGAATAACATCCAGAATTTGTCCCTGGAGTCAGATGTGTAGGTTAAATGACCTGGATTACATCTGTCTGCTCATACTTGCCTGCAGTGTAGGAAGTGCAAAGTCAGAAACAGACCCAGGCAGTAAATAAGGTCCAAAACAAAGCATTTAATTCATCTTTGGTGCTTTAGGAAAAGTTTCTTAGAGAGGCTATTTTTGGATCAAGTACTAAAAGATGCTTATCACACTGCTAGATGAAGTGGTAACAAAGGATTAGGAAGGAGAAAAGAAGTGATCACACAGAGGGTGGATATCACAAGGTGCATGCAGAAACACAGAGAAGGATTAGTGTTTATGAAGCAAAAAGCTAAGAAAGGAATGATAATAAAAGAGATAAAGTTACCACAGCATTGACATTATGCTAAAAACCTTCAGCCTTATGGCATTGGTGGGTGGTTCCCTATGAGGGTTAAGTTTGCCCTTTGGGGACATTTGGCACCATCTGGAGACATTTTTGATTGTTGCATTTTGAGTTGGGGTGGCTAATAGCATCTAGTGGATAGAAATCAGGGATGCCACTAAGCAGCTTTTACAATGCACAAGACAGCCCTCACGACAATATAATATTGTAATGTGACAGGAAAATGTCAAGGTAGAGAAACCCTGCTGTAATTGAGTGGGTATTCACTTAAGAGATCTAAAAAATGGAGTGAACTAATCAGATGTGTTCTTTGGATAGTCTATGGTGATAGCTATATGGCTACATGAAGTATAATTCATGAATATTCAAGTATGGTATTTCCTAGATTGCACTAAAATTTTAAATTTAATTTTTAATTCAAGTGTAATAAACACAGTGTATACTAGTTTCAGGTGTACAATATTCAACAATTCTATATGTTACTCAGTACTCCTCATGATAGATTGCATTAAATTTTATAGGGAAGATAATATAGACTTTGGGAACTTGGAGAATTTTGATTAGTGAATTAGGTACTTTACAATAATGCTTCTTTAAAATTGAAGCTACAGCCAATGACTTAACAAGTGGCTAAGGATTAATTTTTATCTCCTCTGCCACCATCTGCTTTGCTGTTTGATTGTACTGCTCCACACAATATTACATTTTAATTATGGAAGGCTGAGAGAACATTAATTTGTTATTGGCTCAAGGAAAAGATCTCAATTAGATTTCCCAAGTTTTTCAGTTTGACCTCAATTTATTTTTTGTCTTTACTACTGACTGCAGACAATACTTGAGAGATGAATTGTAATTAGTTAACAATTAAAGTGATCTGCCTTTAAATATAAGCAACCAAAACATGAAGCACTAAGACATTTGGAATCTAGATGCACTACATTATCTTATCAAGCTAAAACTGTGGTGTTAAAAGTAACATATTGTTATTAGAAAAGAAAAATCTCAACCGAATTCATGAAGTGGCTCTAAAAGTACACAGAAAAAAAATAAAGTACATACAAACACAAAATCAGTGATTTTGCAGAATTTAATCAAACAACCACCACAAAAAATGCATACTTTCCCAAAATTTTGATAATCCTTTATGAATACAATCAGATTTAAAAGAAGTTTTCTTCAAAACAAGGTTAAATTTTGATTTCAAACATATAATAATTTAAAGCTTCTTCAAAACTTCATACTTGTTACCAATTTACTATTTCCCCCCAAAAAACTTAATTGGAAATAAAGAATAGTAATCTTTCTCTCTATCTCTCTCTTTCTTTCCCTCCCTCCATCTCTCTCTCTCTTTCTCTTCCTCCCTCCCTTCTTTTTTCTTCTTTCTTTCTCTCTCTCTTTCCTTCCTTCCTTCCTTCCTTCCTTCCTTCCTTCCTTCCTTCCTTCCTTCCTTCCTTCCTTCCTTCCTTCCTTCCTTCCTTCCTTCTTTCTTTTGAAAGAGAGTCTGAGCTGGGGAGGGGCACAGAGAGAAAGGGACAAAGTATCCCAAGCAGGCTCTGCACTGACAGCAGAGAGCCCAATGTGTGGCTTGAACCCTCAGACTCTGAGATCATGACCTGAGCTGAAGTCAGATGCTTAACCAATTGAGCCACCTAGATGCCCCAAGAATATTAATATTTCAAATGTGTCTTTATTTACAATAAAAAAATCTAGCTTTCTGTGCATAACACTGTGATAAAACCTAAAGAGCATACAGAAAGTGCTGTTCTTTTTACATATTGCTTATCATTAAAAATGTTTATAATCAAGGATCCATGAAAATTCTTTGGACAATCTGATTGGAATTGGATTATATCAATAGAATAATGGTGGAAAACTAATATTCTTACAAACTTAACTCTTCCAATTCATGAATATATAATATCTTTTGATGATTTCTGTCTTCTTTAACCTCCTTACAAAAAATTGTATAAATTTCTAATAATTAGACATTACAATTTTTTAAGATTTATTCCTAATCATATTGATCAAATACATAGGGAAAGTTTTAAAGCATGTTTTTAGATTTTCATTGGTAAATAGTACATTATTATTATATTGACTTCTAAAACTTTCCTATTAAATTCTTTGTGGATTCTTTGGTGTTTTCTACTACCAATGACCTAAATATAGTAGTTTTATTTCCATTTTTAGAAATTTTATATTTTTAGTTTTCTTGTTTCATTGTTCTGACTATAATAGACATAGAGGCTTTATCATCATATTTCTTGTTTTTCCTCTCATTTAAGGGAAGCTGTGATTCAGCTTAGATATTTCTAATGACCCAGCATCCATTTGACTAAATGCTAATGTCTATGTTCAATCTTCTTTTTAATTTTTTAAAATGTTTATTTATTTTTGAGAGAGAGAGAAAGAGCATGAACAGAGGAGGGGCATAGAGAGACACACACAAAATCTGAAGCAGGTTCTAGGCTCCAAGCTGTCAGCACGGAAGCTGACTTGTGAAGCTCGAACCCAGGAACTGGGAGGTCATGATCTGAGGCGAATCTGGACACTTAACCAACTGAGCCACCCAGGCACCCCATGTGTTCAATATGCTTTTAAACAACATAGTTATTTATTGCCATTACTGTGTATTCTTTCTCTGTCTGTTTCTATAACAAGTAGTTTTTGAATAAATGACCTCTTTTGTATTCAGAAAAATCTAAAGACTCCAGGTAATATCTTCCACCAGGGAAGTTTCACTCTTTGCTAAGCAGATAGAGACAATCACAAAGTTACGGTCACCCTGAATGCAGGTTGAGTAAGAACAAGTCTACCTCTTCACTTTGTCCTTGTATTTAACATATAACCCTTTATATTGTTTTTCACTGTGACGCTGGCATGTCTCAATATTGAAAGAATGAAAAATTTTCAATTGCTTTTTAGAAGTTTTGGCTTAGACTGGCACAACTTTAAAATACAGCAAATGTTTTCAATTTGTGCTTCTGAAAATCTGGTCTCCAGCTTGATATTTCACATCCTTATGGTGCCTGAAACCTTACCTGGGTTTCTCCCCTCCAGGACTAGTTCCCAGCCAGGCTCCAAAACTGTTGAAACAGCCAAACAGCTCCAAAGAGAGAAAAATGAGGATTTTCAGTGTTACTCTCTCAAGGTTTTTTGTGTTTTTGTTTTCCTCACATGTAATCTGAGACACTGGAATGGACACTTCCCTTATAAGCACAAGAGAAAAATCTCCGTAATTTAAGGGTTTTGTTTTAGTTCTCAAGCACCCTGATCCAGCATAGCTACGGAATTTAGCATCTGTATTGAGAGACAGCTAGCCAGATGGAGACCCCTGGATGATTCAATTTTGTCATTCCACTCCATGTTGTCGAAAAGAGTCATCGGTCCCCCAGCTGTGGCCCTAACTTAGCCTGTGCTAGCACTAAATTCTCAGACTCCAACCTGAACAAGAGCCGGTAGACATCACCAGTGAGGGCCTCAAATTCTCAGATCACCAATGCAGGTTTCTCTCTTTCCAGAATTGTACACACTCTGGTCCTGGTTGCTTCCACAGCTGTAACGATACCGGTTTACTTTTTATTACTTATTATTTTATATATTTAATCTATTTCTTATTTACTTATTTAAAATTGTTATTGATTTACTATGTTTAGTCTATTTTATTGGTGGGATGTTTGCCTGCTGCTGAATGGCTACAGTCTACTCTTAATAGGAGTATTTTTTGAATCATGAGTGGTTGTTTAATCTTATGAAAAAATTTCTCAGTGACTGAGGCTATCTTCTAGCTTTTCCTCTTTAATTTATTAATGAAGTAAATGCCACTTAAAGATTGTTCTAATGTTTACCCTTCTTCTGTTTCTAGAATGAACGTGACTAGAACAACATGTCTTGTCCCTAGGGTCTGTATGAGATTGGTGCTGTCCTCTCTAGGATACTCGTTCGTCCTTATTGCCTGGAATACAGATCAGCTCTGCTACCTGTACATCTTCAAGCAGTGGCAGTAGGTGGGGGGGAGTCATTGTCTCTGACCCTCTAAAAGACAGGAAGTATATAGATTGTTTCAGACTGGAAAGATCTTTGACAGTTCCCAGCTATGCATGATCCCCAATGCTGAAATTTCCCTCTACAATCAAATTACAGGGCCTGAGAAAAGAGAAGAACTCTTATTCTATACACATATGTCTTCCACAGTAATTTATTACTGATTATATCATAACTATTATGCAAAGCCTTGAAAACTAGGAATTTATGCTCTAAAACCCTAAAATTCTACACTCAGTAATGGTAAACAGATGTCACTCTGGAAAGAAACAAATTAGAAAATTTGGTGGCATTTTGCTGTGGTACAAATAACACAAACGTTGAAATCAGACACACTGTAGTTTACAAAGACTGGCCGGCTACCCATTATCCCAGTGATATTGATGCAAATGCCCTGACTAAATCTTCCAACCATCAGAGTATTCATTTAATGTTTTTTTTAATGTTTATTTTTTAGGGAGAGAGAAAGAGACAGATGGAGCATGAGTGGGGGAGGAGCAGAGAGAGAGGGAGACATAGAATCTGAAGAAGGCTCCAGACTCTGAGCTGTCAGCATGGAGCCCAATGCAGAGCTCAAACTCACAAACTGCAAGATCATGACCTGAGCTGAAGTCGGTCGCTTAACCAACTGAACCACCCTGGCACCCCTCACTTTTTTAAAATGAGAATAATGAATGATATACATTGGAGATGATTACCTTTAGGTTAAATGAGAGAATTTATGCAACTAATCAAAAATATATTTTCTCCCTGGGGTGCCTAGCTGCCTCAGTCAGTAGATAAAGCACAACTCTTGATCTCAAGGTTGTTAGGTGTGAGCCCCACATTGAGTGGAGAGATTATTGAAAAATAAAATATTTTATTTATTTATTTATTTATTTATTTATTTATTTATTTATTTTAGAGAAAGTGGGGGAGGTGCAGAGAGAGAGAGGGAGAGAGATAATCCCAAGCTAGCTCCATGGCTCCACGCTGTCAATAACAGAGCTTAATGCAGGACCTGATCCCACAACTGTAAGTTGAGTAGATAGTGAAATTGGATGCCTAACTGACAGTACCAGCCAGGCTCTCCAGATGTCTATTCTGCTCTAAATAATGTGTGAATAGTAGGAGAAAAATATTTAAAAGTCACATTGCTATGGATTTAAGATAAATATTTTCTATAACACAAAGAATTTGATATATATAGATTTTTACTTATAAAGAATTCCTTTGTGTATGAAATTATTTACAATTTCATTATCAGTTAAATGAATCAATACTCTATTCTGTAATATATTAACTCAGAGGTTTATTTCTCAATAATAAATATAGGTTTATTAAACTTGTAAAATAACTGACAAAACCCGCATTTAAAAATGATAAAAATCATTGCTTGATTACTTGAATAAATTACTACTACTTGTCTACAATATTTAGCAATTATTGACTTTGCTTTTCATAATAGGTGAGAAAAAATTAAAAAACTAGCATCAAGTCCTCAAGTAGTGTTCAGGAAAAGTTATAGGTAAATCTGTTTTATTTTATAAAAAATAAATATGTTATAGTCTTATTTTAAAATTGGAGGTGATTTTCAAAATGACATAAATACTAAAAGGAATAGACTAAGGACTGCTTGTTATGACTAACAAATAACCTCTTTATTGGCCTATTTCCTACTTCTTCCATCAATTCTAATGTTTCAAAAATAAAGGGGCAATATATTTAGTTAAATAAATGTATAATTCTGAATATCACAGTAAACTCGAGTATCAAAGAAGTATCCAAAATACCATTAGAGAGGACCTTGCTGATATATCAGGTCAAAGGTTTAAAGTTGGTTATTTGGAAAATTAAATAATAATATTAAAACAATGTCAAACTAGAGTTCTCTGGCTAATATTAAAATATATATATTTAAATTTTTTGCTTAAAGTATTTTATGGCAATATATTGTACTTTTAGAAATATTTATAAATTCATTTTTCATTTTGAAAGATTTAGAAAATTGTAAAATAAAGTATATAATTCAGAAATAAAACCTCTGATAGTTAGAAGATGCATTAATTTTCTTTTTTTTAAATTTTTAATGTTTATTTATTTTTCAGAAAGAGAGATAGAGTGTGAGCAGGGGAGGGGCAGAGAGAGAGGGAGACAAAGAATCCAAAGCAGGCTCCAGGCTCCGAGCTGTCAGCACAGAGCCTCAAACAGGGTTTGAGCCCACGAACTGTGAGATCATGGCCTAAGTCAAAGTCAGTTGCTTAACCAACTGAGCCACCATAGAAGATGCATTAATTTTTTACTGCTGAAACAAATTAGCAAAAATCATATAATGGTTAAATTATCAAATGCATTATCTCAGTTTCTGTCAGTCAGAGGTTCAACACAGAATGTTTTCACAAAACTGAAATAGAGGTATTGGCCCTGCAGGACTCTTATCTAGAGGCTCAAGAGACAATGCCATTTTCAAGCTCATACAGATAGTTGGCAGGATTCAGTTCCTTCTGGCTGTGGGACTGAGGTTCCTAGGCCACTCCATCTTTAAACTAGCAAGAGTGTATCAAATCTTCATGGTTTCAACGTCTGACTTCTCCTTCTATCAAATTTTCCTGTATCTATCCCAAACAAGTTCTACACTTTAAGAGTATGTATGATTATATTAGGCCTTACTTTATGTAATCCAAAATAATACACTTATCTTTTTTTAAATTTTTTTTTTTTTTGAGAGAGAGAGAGGAGAGAGAGAGAGAGAAAGAAAGAGAGAGAATCCGAAGCAGGCTCTGCGCTGCTTTTTATAATGTCTTTTTTTTTTTTACTATTTTTATGTCTTTTTTAATTTTTTACTTTTTTTTCAATGTCTTTATTTTGAAAGACAAAGACAGAGAACGAGTGGGGGAGGGTCAGAGAGAGAGGGAGACACAGAATCTGAAGCAGGCTCCAGGCTCTGAGCTGTCAGCACAGAGCCCAATATGGGCTCGAACCCACGAACCGTGAGATCATGACCTGAGCCAAAGCCGGACACTAAACCTACTGAGCCACCCATGTGCCCCAACATATTTTATTTCTAAATACTAGTCTAGTTCTATCAGTTGATAGAAATTTGATGAAGTATCCAGATTTCAGCAAAATTTTGTCAGGAAGTTTATGATAATATCTGTGGATACTAAGGTGCTGAACCTAACAATATAATATAAGGTAAGCAGGTACATATGTAACTGGTTAACGCAGAAAAGTTTTGAACATATAGCATAGTATCTTGTTTTCAGTCTTGTTTTGCTTAATATTTTAACCTAAGACATGAAGACATTTGCATCATTGGAATGTTAAACACAGAAAAGAATACCAATCACCCTACATGAAAAAACCGAAAAGACTAAAAGCTAGAATGATGAGTTGATTTTAAATAAATTAAATGTGGGGGTGCCTGGGTGGCTCAGTTGGTTAAGCATTTGACTCTTGATTTTGGCATAGGTCATGATCTCATGGTTTGTGGGTTCAAGCCCTAAGTCAGGTTCTGTGTGCTGAATCACTGCTTGGGATTCTCTGTCTACTCCTCTCTCGGTCCCTCCCCTGCTGCTAGTGCCCTCTCATTCTCTCTCAAAATAAATAAACATGAAAAAAAATTTTAAAACATCATATAAATAAATAGAATGTGAATAAATATCTGTCTTTACACTTTGGTCCAAAATATTAGCTATTTATTTTAAACTGAGAGGAACATATCTAAACAAGTGCACATATAAAGATAATTTATAAGTGGTAGTTCACAATCAGTCAATACAAATGAATAATGTAATAAGCTTCCTGTAAATCTAATGCAGGAAAGACTTTATTAGTAGAAATATTGCAACTTAAAAAGAAATATGGAATTTTTCATTCTGCTCTGAATATTGCCATAATTGATCTGAGTGTTAAAAACAAAAAAAGTCTAAACAAAATGCAACATTAAAACCTTCAAAAAATGCAAACGCAGGGGTCATTGTAGCTGTTTTTAAGCATTACTATGGCATCTTACTATAAATAAACTTTCCATAATAATAGTAACAATAATAACTATAATAATAATGCTACCCACTATCATTTTTGTTTTACTACAAAAGATGATGGAGAAAAAGGAAGGCTTACAGAAACAATTAATTTTCTTATCAAAATAGAAGTTTCAGGGGCTTTCTTGTTAATCATTTAACAAGAAATTTAACAAGAAATGGGAAGTAAGGTAGCCTTATTTTTATTCATGTCATCTCTGAAGATGATCAGGACAAGGTACAATCAGATTGTACACAGTAACGGTTCCTATTGATTCCAGAGTAAGGAAGAAATTCAAATTGCTGATTATAATACTGTTGAAGCATTATTTGTATTTTAAAGCTTTATTAAGTCTTAGCCACCCCAAGGATCATTTTCTTTTGTGACATGTGCTTATTTGTGTTTCGTTTTTGTTTTTGTTTTCTTCAATCCAAGAAATGAAATAGCTAATGAAAAGGCTGACAGTATATACTGGTGAAATCACCTCACCAGACATTTG